GCAGCAGAAGATCAAAATATAACATATACAGCATTTATGGAACAGTATATGGCATCTGGTGCACCCTATCTCAAAGCTCTCTACTATCCAATTAATGATAGACCAAAAGGAATAAAAAGACACGAACTAGTAAAACTCATTCGAAAAGCAGCTAAACTCATCATGAATGGTTTTTCTATGCCTGTAAATCCAAGAGATAACTTAGCACCAGATGGACAACTATTTGTTGAACTCTGTAAAAAAGATAAAGCATTGTGTGAACTCATTACAGGAAGAGCACCTGGTACTAGTTTTCTTTGTTATCATTCTTGGGTCGAAGAACTCATCCACGAACGTGGACCATGGAGAGAAGTAATTGAAAGTGATGGTAAACGAAAATCTCATTGCCCATTCAATCTGACTTTGATGCGTGAACTGAGAGACAAATATGGCATTATTCATCATGAAAAAAGTGTTAGTGAATCGAAAACTTCTGTTTCGCAAATGTAAAAGTACACTCCAAGACATGTGTTGCACTAGTATCATAATAAATACGAAGAACTGCAAGATAATTTTTCACATTTCACTGACTAAAAGCTTTTAATCTATTTCTAAACTAATCAATTGTTTTGCTAAAAGTACCTACGAAGGAAAGTCACCAACTGATCAATCACTTTTGCGTTGAGACTATGAGCATTATGTAAGCATAAATGAGCTATGAATATCCTGAACAATTTTTGGGTCGCTAGCTTATTAATACGGAGATGCCGCTTTTTTTCAGCATGTTTTTAACTTAGTGCCGTGATTCTCTTCAGGAACACCAAAAAAAATCATTTTCCAATTCCAACTTGATTCTTCACATAGAAACAGGTCTCAAGGATAAAAGTATTTTGTGAAAGTTTCAGTTCTTTTGTTTTGTTGGATGGGTGTGGGTGTGTGGGTGTGGGTGTTTGAGTGTGGGCGTGTGAGTGTGGGTGTGGGTGTGGATGCCGGTTTGGGTGTTGAAGAATAGAAGATCCGCATGCACACCCTACACCCACACCTCACCAACACCCACACCCACCACACCTACACCCACATCCACTCACACCCACACTCACACCCTTAAGCAGTTCACTTTCGGGTAAAACTCTGTATGCTCAATGATGATGCCGAGCACTGATGAGTGTTTTAATGTTTTATGAACCAGGAACAAGTTAAAATGATCAAAATTATTTGCAAGTATAAGGGCTGAAATAAAACATTTTACTCAGGAGAATTATTTTTTTCTGAAAATCTTTCGCGCACTTCATTACTTCGTCGCCACTGTTCATATCTGCAAGTCATAAAAGTAATCTTCTCCAGATTGTCTATTATTGTTGGATGATTACGTGATAAATATATTGAATTAATTTTAAAACTTTTCATCATATTTTCCAATGCTTCTTTAAAGCTTCCTTGTTCATATAATGCTCCGGCCAATGTATCATATGTTTTTCCCAAATTTAAATGATTCGGTGGAAATGAATGTAATTCAATCTCCAGTGTCTTATTTAAAAATTCAATTGCTTTCTCGTAATCACATTGTTTAAAATAAACTAATGAAATGTTATAATAGGATGTCGCAATGTCAAGATGATTTTTTGGTAAATCGTGTAATCGTATTGCTAGAGATTTTTCATGCATTGATAATGCTTCTTCAAGTTTATCGTCGTCATATTATACCAAACCTAATTGATTATAGGTTCGTGCAAAATCAATATGATCTGGCGGCAGCATATTTTTCTGTATTTGAAGCGATTTGTTTATATGAACGATTGATTCTTCATGAAGACCTAGTGAATTGTAAACGTGTGAAATGTTATTGTAAGATATCACGATGTCCGGATGATTGGTCGGTAAAACTTTTAAGCGAATTTCAAGGGACTTTTTAAACAATTTCAATGCTTCATCAAGTTCACATTGTTCATATAATGCTGAAGCTAAATTATTATAAGTTGATGCCAAAACTGGATAGTCTGTTGGCTGTGAATTTATTTGAACTTGAAGTGTTCGATCGAGATATTCTATTGCTTTTTTATAATCTTTGAGCGAATCATAAACTTGTGAAATATTATTGTATGATGCTGCCAAGTCAGGATGATTGTTTGGTAGAACTTTTAACCGTATTCTAAGAGACTTTTCATTGGTTTCTAATGCATCTTTGAGTTGACCTGTGCAAAAGTATGCATTAGCTAAATTATGATAGATTCCTGCTAATTGTACAAGATTTACCGATATTGAATCTGTATCAATTTGAAGAATTGGATTTAAATATTCGATTGCTGTATCGTAGTCGCAAAGCGAATTATAAATCAGTGAAATATGATAATATATTGTTAATATTGTTGAATGATGAAGAGGAAGAGTTTGCCGATCGATTTTTAAAGCTTTTTCATACATTTCCAGTGCTTCTTTAAGTTTTCCTTGTTTGTAAAATGCTAGGCCTAAATTGTTATAGGTTCTTCCAAGATCTGGGTGATTTGATGGTAATGAATCGATTTGAATTTGAAGTGTTTGATTCAAATATTTGTTCGTTGAATCATAATCTTTAAGTGCATAATATACTTGTGAAATATTATTGTAAATAGTCGCAAGGTTTGGATGATTTGATGGAAGAAGTTCTTCTTTCAACTCTAAATATTGCTCAAACATTTTCAGTGCTTCTGAATAAGGCTGCTGGTCTAGATAGACAGATCCAATATTTCCGTAACGATTTGCAATATTGTTTGGCTTTGGATTAATTGCAGTTAGATCGATGACAAGTGCTTTATGATAATACGAAAGAGCTTTCTCATATTCGCTTTGTTCATGATAGACATGTGCTAGATTATTGTACGTAGACGCAAGTGCTGAATCATTTGGGGGTAAATATTTAAGTTTGATATCAAGTGCATTTTCATAGTATTCAATTGCTTTCGTTTGTCGATTCGTATTATGATAAATGTATCCAAGATTATTGTAAATAGAAGCCAATGTTTTGAAATCTTCAGTATTGCTCGGATCTTCAAGTAACATAAGATGATATTTTTCGGCTTTATCATATTTACCCATATCCATCATCAATCTTGCCAAGCTACCAAGAGGATTTGTAGACAATGCATCTTCACTTATGTACTCTGCTAATTGACTTAACTCTGTATCTTCTTCACTTGTGAGCTTCAATTTCACATTCCAAATACCATCGTCATTAATGTCTACTGATTCTATTCGAAATACGGCTCCCATGGTAAATAAAATTTCATTTTCTTCTTCATTGAATGCACTTTCTAATGATATATTTGCATAGGGAAATTTATTGACAGTTTTATCAATGTCGATTTGAAACAAAATACTTCGTTCTGTCGAAGCTCTATCAGTACTACTATTTCCCGCATAGATAGTGGCCAAATTTTTATGCGATGTTGTTGATAAAAAGCTAATGACCGAGAAAAAACCACCTGAATTGTGCCTTATTTTCTTGTCGAATTCTTCGTTTGTCATCAACTGTCCTCGATAAACTGTTTCAATAGTTTGCTGTTCTAGAGATATATTATTAGTAGTAGAAGGAAGCACTTGTGTTGTTGATATCTGCTGTTGCTTTGCATGTCTTTGTTTTAATTGTAGATGGAGATCTTTAATAAAATAGCGCAAACCATAGAGTGTGTCAATATCCTGCTCTCTTAATGATCGATTCAGAAGGCGATAGAGAAATGTATCACGGGTATACCAAAAGATAGCATTTCTTGCTTCATAATACTCTTCAAATTCATCAATAGCATTCAAATCAGCTCTGTTGCCAGAACATTTCTCGCGACAAAATCGAATCATTTCTTCCTCTGTTGATTCTAGGTTAACCAGAATATCTCGTAAAAATTGGGAATACATAAAGTCTGCCTCCTGTCGGCTGATGATATTTTTAGTCGTTTCTGTAGACGATAACTCATCAGTGGCAGAAACTGCTGCACGACTCAATGATGAGATAATGAAATCATCATTCCAGATTCTCTCTTGACGACGACGTCGTACAGCTGGCAGTTCACGTATGTGATTGCACAATGATTCGACATTCCTGTAGATTCTATGGGGTGCTGCGACATCTTTAGTTGAGTCTGTTTCATTTTCATGAAAAACATAGACTGAATCAATGTGTGAAAATTGTTGTCTCAAACGTAGAAATGTTTCAAGAGACTGAAATGGCTCTTCACTTGCTACCAGAAGAATTAATTTTTTGTTCTCACATGTTGTCTGAATAATATAATCCATACATTTCTCTGAATCGCGGAATGTTGTCAAATTTGGATCAGCCTTGCATAAAGCGAGATGGTTTGCACTATAAACTTCAGCACTGGCAGAATCGGATGTTTGATCAAGCCAAACAGTGATTGAATCTTCCTCCATATCAATGATATTCTTTTGTATTTCTTAACAAAGTTAAAATACAGGGCAGAGTTTCTAAGCTTCCAGTATTTACACTACTTCCTATGAAAGGCTGACTGGGTTTTTTCCAAGTAGAAGCATAGAAAAAAAAATTGCGTTCGTCGTCGAAAGAAAAAGTGTCGTCGAAAATGACATTTATAATGTCTCTACTAAAAGGGAAGTCATACGCAGAGTGAGTTACCTTCGTTCGTTCGCACAGAACGCAAAGAGGTCTTTTGCCTCTCATATCATTCATCTTACAACAAAACTTAACAAGCTTTCTCCTTCGAGTAGTCCTCAATCTCTAATTCAAGAACCAATCAGACGTCTACTTCGTTCAGATCACAGCCAATCAGATTTCAGGCCAGCGATTTTCAGGCAATCATAGGCTTTCACGTTCTGCCTATGCGCCAATGAGATTCTGAGAGAGGTCATTTGGGCCAATAATAAGTTTCAAAATTCTGGCTATGCGTTAATGAGATTTCGAGACTGGGCATTTGGGCTAATCATAGGTGTGAGTGTGCGTGTAGAAGTGAGTGTGGGAATGGGTGTGGGTGTGTGTGGGAGTGGGTGTGGGTGTGTGTGGGAGTGGGTGTGGGTGTGTGTGGGTGTGCGTGTAGAAGTGAGTGTGGGTGGGTGTGGGTGTATGGGTGTGGGTGTGGGGTGTGTGTGTGTGTGTGGGTGGGGTGTGGGTGTGGGTTGGGTATGGATGTGGGTGTGGGTTGGGTGTGGGTGGGTGTGGGTGTGGGTGGGTGTAGGTGGGTGTGGGTGGGTGTTGGTGTGAGTGGGTGTGGGTGTGGGTGTGGGTGTGGGTGTGGGTGGGTGTGGGTGTGTGGGTATGGATGTGGGTGTGGGTTGGGTGTGGGTTGGGTGTGGGTGTGGGTGGAATCATAGGTGTGAGTGTGCGTGTAGAAGTGAGTGTGGGAATGGGTGTGGGTGTGTGTGGGAGTGGGTGTGGGTGTGTGTGGGAGTGGGTGTGGGTGTGTGTGGGTGTGCGTGTAGAAGTGAGTGTGGGTGGGTGTGGGTGTATGGGTGTGGGTGTGGGGTGTGTGTGTGTGTGTGGGTGGGGTGTGGGTGTGGGT